CAACGGCAGAAAAGGAAAGGTTTTCTGCATCGTATCATGACAGGCGACGAAAAATGGATACACTACAATAACCCTGAGCGTAGAAAATCGTGGGGTAAGCCCGGCCATGCATCAACATCGTCAGCAAGGCCGAATATCCATGGTTCGAAGCTTCTGCTCTGCATTTGGTGGGATCAGCTAGGTGTAGTTTATTACGAGCTGCTCAAACCAAACGAAACCATCACGGGAGATCGCTATCGACTACAATCGATGCATTTGAGCCAAGCATTGAAGAAAAAATGGCCGCTATATGAGCAGAGACACGACAAAGTGATTTTGCAACATGACAATGCTTGGCCACATGTTGCACAACCGGTGAAAACATACTTGGAAATGCTTAAATGGGAAGTCCTAACCCACCCGCCGTATTCACCAGACATCACCCCTTCGGATTATCATTTGTTCCGATCGATGGCACATGTCCTGGCTGAGCAGCACTTCCTTTCTTATGAAGATGCCAAAAATTAAGTTGATTCTTGGATAGCCTCAAAAGATGTGTCGTTTTTCTGATGTGGAATTCAAATGCTGCCAGAACGATGGGAGAAAGTAGTGGCTAGCGATGGACAATACTTTCAGTGATGTGTTTATTACAACTTTTTTTAAATAAAGTGTTAATTTTCACAAAAAAAAAACAGCGAGAACTTATTCAAGGTTCTTATAAGATATAATTAAAGTACAAACAAAACACGTAGTTCTACATAATCATAAAAAGAGCTGGCTATTTCTTCTTTTGATGGAATAAACCTTTTCCCAAAATCGGATATACTTTCCCATTCCAAGTTAGCTAATATTTTCATTTTGGTTGTTTCATCAACTAAATCATTGAATAGTGATAATATGGCTATTTCCTGAGATAAGTACCACAAGTGTTGACAAAACTTGGTCAAAGCCGCCTGGGAAATTAATTTGTCAACTTTTTCATATTCTTTTAATGTTTTTAAAAAGCACAAATCTTGATACGGTGCCTGTCCTGCCAAACCGCATCCATCCATTACGTAAACTATTACAATAAATAAGCAAACTTGTAATGCTTGTTTGTCCTTAGCGTTCATTCTGAATTGAGACTGTAGCAAACATAAGAGTAAATAACTCTAGCCATCCACTTTGCTTGATGCATTGCAACCAGGGGCCTGATTTTAATTTTTTTTCTTTATCTTCCCCCAAAAATATGATAGCTAACTCAACTAATTTGCAATAATCATCTCTCACAATAGATTTTTGAAGTTCTCTCACATAAAAAGATAATAATTGATCAATTTCTGCATCATTAAAATGTTGTTTTACAAAATCAATGCATATTTGTATGTTCATAGAATCAATGCTTTTCCAAGAATCTTTAAATTTTTTGAATATCAGAATATCAAGGTGTTAGTAACTTGGGGATTTTTGTTTCAAACACACTTCTTAAAACTAGCTCATATATATGATGGCAACAAGCAAAGAGTAACAGTTCTCTTTTTAGCTTTTGTTCTAATAGCATACAAGCTCCATTTAAGCGATCCATATTGGATGCTGTTGTGTCATAACACATTATTTGTGCCTTGTCATTTAAATTCCAATCATAGAGTGCATTTGAAACTGCTTTGGCTTGGTGTTTACCAGAAGAATTGTCCAGTATTGGTACGGCAAGCAGTTGTTCCCTCTCTCTGAATGAAATAAGACTCAGTAGGTGCTCTTCTTTAGAACTTCTAATGTTCAAGCCAGTTAACAATTTGCCATCCTAATGAACAGTGACTACTTCTGGCACATCATCCTGAAAATCAGATTTTATGGTTTCTGCTCTGTCCTTCCTCACTTGTGTCCAAATCCGTTGAAGTGAAGATTTGTTGATTGAAAATTCATCAATACAAAGCCCTAGTGCTTCCACTGTAGCATGAAGAATATAAACAGAATCTCTAATTCTCAACTGGCATCTGTCTAAAGCCACAACTAGTTTAGGCATAATGAAATCCTTTCTTCCTCTTTTTACACTAGCTTCAGACAGCACAGTATTCGATTCCTGAGAAAAATGCTCATCCAGACTATTGTCAGAGCTATGAGAAATGTCATATAGTTCCTGGAGTGGTGATAAATCATGCAATATTGAAGTCTTCGATGCAGCCTTCATAGAAATATTTTTGAGCCATCTTCTCTCTACTTCTATTTTTCTTTGCCTTGCCTTTTCTTCTTTTTCAGCCAACTTTTTATCTACACCCGCCAAGCAGCCCGGACGCCCTAGTTCTTTCTCTGTTTCTGTAAGAATTTTTTAACTTCCTCTATTGTCATACATTCGAGAGCATCGGCATGTGCAATATGCGCTTATAAATATCTTGAGTTTTCTTCCTGTTTTTTTGCAACTATCTCCATATGTGATAAAGATCCACCAATTTCTTGACACAGTTAGGTATAGATTTTGTAGGTATTCTAGCTTTTTTCCAAAATATTATACACTTGCATATTACAAGATTTGTGCTTTCACTCACAGTTACTTTAACTTCGTAAATATTAAAAAACAAAACTGCGAGTACTTGCCAATTTGACAGTAATTTTGCACCCAGATTTGGTGGTTTATCTCTCTGACTAAGAAAATATGTTTTTAGTGCTTCATAATTCCACTGACATCTTCAAAAAATGAAACTATACATGTTAATAGCCTGACAAGTTGGGTTGGAATGGTGAACAAAGCAAATATGTGCCACTTCTCTAGCGCAACATGTATGGACATGATTTGACACAAGTCAGAACGAGTTCTAGTGGCTAAAATGAGCTGAAATTCATTGTGCGAGTATTTAAGAGTAAAATAAACAAAACTACACCATATGCGTTAGAAAAAAAAATATTTGAGAAATAAGAGAGAGCCTAATATTCATAATATAAACTTTTTAATTTTAAATCAAAATAGTTTCTGTAATTATTTTTGCTAACCAATATTAGAGAATCTGACAGAGGAACATTTCAGGCTAAGTGACATTCTTTACGAACAGGCCAGTTTTCATTACACCCAAATTCTGATATATGATATCACATGGAGGTATATGATCCATAGTTTAAGCAGCTCTGATCTAGGTGATTTGCTGAAAGGTTAAGTTCAAGGATCACTGGAATAATGCATAACCTAAGCATTTTATATAGCATTTTTATAGCCTAAAATGGTTAATTGGTTTTAAGAATATTAAAACCAATTAACCATTTTGTCATAACCATTATAGACTATAAAAATTAGTGAAATGATGACTTGATGAGTAGAAGTAATTTACTCCAAGTTACATTCAATAAAGTACTTTTTAAAATGCATGAGAACTTTAGCAATATAGAACTACATTAAAATTTCAACACAAATTAAAAAATTGTTTAAGTTGATTATTGTCAAGAATAATGAACTATAAGAGTGTGACATTGACAGTTTATTTTATTTTTGCTAGCACTTTCAACAAACTCATGTTCATCGTCATCACGCAAACTTTAAAAAATAGAATACAATGTTCTAATGTAAGTGGAACACACTTTATTTAAATTAAAATTAAAAACCTGTTAGGAGCATGCTATTACTCTCATAATGGTTTAATTTAGATAATATTAAATGTTTAATTTAAACAATAAGTGTTCCACTTATATTAGAACATTGTATTCTATTTTTAACGTGTTGTTCGCCTGATGATGTAGAACGCAAGTTCGTTGAAAGCACTAGCAAAAATAAAAAAACAACTAACGCCACACTCAGTGTATCTTTACTTCCACTTATCTGATATTTAGTGTGAAGATCAAACATAATTATGTAATAATGAACTAATTTATTGATATAAATAAGATAAAATTATAACTGTTTGCTACAAATTTTATTTATGTACTGTTACGAAAATCTGACTGAAAGTTACTTGTATATTATTTACATTTCTATTATATAAGCGCCATTAACTGATTTATTTTTTTCTTTTTGCTTTAACTAGACACTAACTTCATTTGCAGTCTTTTTAAACTTTGCATTAATGTATCTAATGAGGACAGTTTTAAATTTTTACAACATATAATAAGGTTTATTTATTTATTATTATTACACTATAAAATCATATTTTAAAATCACTTAAAATCAGATTGTGTAAATCATAACACTATTGAAACATTATTGTTTGTTATGGAATATTTATATGATGCCATCTAAGCAAGATAAGCTCCTGAACAAAGAGCAAAGAATTAACTGATTTTCACAGTTTTAGAATAAAAATGCATTTGTTTTTACATGACAACTTGTTCGATTTTTTTTAATGCACTCTCTACAGAGAGATGTATAACCTCACTTTAACCAGCATGCGAGCATTCCCCAGGATAAGTTAGCATGCCAGCTTTTACCATACAGAAATATCTGATTTCCTGGTCTCCCCAGATAGACCAGCAAGCCAGTCATTCTGTGAAAATATGATAATTATTTGCTATCAATATGAATTCCATTAATTACTTTATTAAACAATCAATATCATATTTTATTATTTTATGAAAATATATTGAAAAATGAACCTTACTAGAGACAATACGCAAATATATTAGTTTGCAACAAACAAAATAGTCAGTTTTTTTTTTAATATAAAAAATACTTTGATATATTCCATCTTTTTTAATATATTAATTTCAAGGTATTTAATGATTTAATAGCAAGATTTTCATTAAATGTCTTTTAAGTAAAAATTTTCAAGTATATTTTCATTTTGAAATTTAAAAAATTAAATCTATAAAATCTATAAATAAATCTATCATGATCTACTTTTGAACTAGCATTCAGAAGTAGATCATGATAGATTTATTTATAGATTTTATACATTTATGATTTATTTATTTATGCCTTTTACCATTTTTGAGAAGGATTTAGTTTAGGAAATAGTCTATATCTCAGTTTATAAACAATACAAAATCAAAAGGTATTTATAAAATCATAAAATAAATTATGCTATATTACAAGCTAGATACCTCTAATTGATTAAATTACTTACGCCTTAGATGCTTCATTTTTACTTAAATCTAGTCTATCTGCTAGAATAGAAAATGCTATTCGACAAACCCGTCCATCCTAATAATAAAAAAAATATGTATATATTAAGTATTTTAATAATTTATGTATAATTTATAACTAAGGAATTAAGCAATGAATTCATGGCCTACCTTATTTCATAATGTATATATTAAGTATTTTAATAATTTATGTATAATTTATAACTAAGGAATTAAGCAATGAATTCATGGCCTACCTTATTTCATATAAAAATTTTAAATAAAATCAGAATTATTAAATTTCTTTCAATGTTAAAAATAAAAACATTTCTTTGAGATACTAAGAAAATTACAAAATAAATTATTTAAAATAATTTTTAAAAACTTGGCAATATAATTTTGGTCTCAACTATAATTATTTTTTGTTTACTTTAAACATATATTCAGGGGTTGTGCTGCATAGTGCCTCTCTAAATGGGAAATGATATAAAACAAGTGATTAAAAATTGTGACAAGCTTTAAATGTGAGAAATAATAGTAATAATGCAGTAAAATAATAATTTTTTTATACATAAAATAAAAACAAAACTAAACTAAAATTTCAAAGTGTTTGAACCTAAATCATCTAGCTCCAGTACCTAGTGTCTTATCCTCTTGGAAATGTGAAATTTCCAAAAGGCTTATAAGCTAAACACTGAGAGGCCTATTTTTTGGTAATGCTTGAGAAGTGGGTCCTATTATTTGGACAAGAAGCTGTGTTTAAGGTTACATGCTCACCAAGTTTCATCTGAATCGGAGACCTGAATATCTGGCAGCTTAACATGTTACTTTTGCTTTCCAGACACCAAACTGATAAGACTACCATCAGTTGCATTAATAAGTAAGTAAAACTGGTGGCAATAAATAATTTTATGTGGCAAAAAAAATTAAACTGGTGAAATGGTTGACAATATCTTTAAATTTTCCAGAGCAACCCCTGTATAATATAACAAAGATATTACAGTACTTGTAATTGCGGCTGGATGGCCGAGCGGTCAAGGTGGCAGCCTACCACTCTGAGGGACCCGGGTTCGAATCTGAATAGGTCAAAAAAATCCCCAGGAATTTTTTGGGGGTGGTCCGTTCAGATATGTCGGGCCCCATCCCTCACCACCCAGCAGCCCCATTGTGGGCCCGGCCGAACCCATAATGGGCTTACAAAAAGAGGCCCTCTTAGTGCCCACAGGGCAGAAAGAGTTTAAAAAAAAAAAAAAAGTACTTGTAATTGCCAAAGATATCAACAGGTATGCCATCATTTAGGTCAGGGGTAATGCTGGTGTTTCTGGCAACAAGTGGGCTGACCAACTTGCCCGCATGGCCTCTGAACTAGAACATGAACCACGCTATAATGCCACTCCCCAATGTCACATCTTATGACAAACAAAAGAAAATGCCTTCACTAGTTAGCAAAGACAATAGAAGCATAGCAAATATCTTACAAAGGAGTTTTTCCTCAAAATTTCAGATTCTACTCTTCCAATCATTGACCAAAAATTGGTCCAATTCTATACTGGACATGGGAAGTTTAACCAATATCTTCACAGGTTTGGCAAATCAGAAAACTCACTGTGCGAAATTTGTAACGAAATAGATGGAGTAAAACACTAACTGTTTAAATGACATATGTTGGACGATAAGCGTTTTACAATCACCACTCTATTTCCGCGAGAAGAAAATTGGCCTTGCAGCCTTGACATATTTGTCAAAGACAAAAACTGTTTTGTAGCATTTAAAGAACTAGTTTATACCTATTTCAACAGAACTACCATGTTAATTAATTAGATCACTTTGTCTCAATGGACTGATGTTTTTTCGAACCATGCACGAAATTTTGTACTGCTTTGTTTATTTAATGTACACATAACAACATGAACTTTACGTGTGATAACTGCATTTTCAGTGTCATATTGTATGGTAATAATGTTAATCCATACTCTTTTGAGTACTATACTACTGTTAACTGTTTCTTGTTAAAAGCTATGTAACGCAATAGACTGTGATATTGTGAAAACTGATATAAGAGAGATATGATACAATGCTTGGTAATCGTGTATTTGCATCTGTATTAGAGACTTGTAACAAGAATCTCATCTATGTATTCTTTTATGTATTTATAGCATTGTTATTACAGTGGAACCTCGGTATACGACCTTAATCCGTTCCTGATTGTTGGACTTATACCGAATAGGACGTATACCGAATCAACCTTTCCCATAAGAAGTAATGTAAAAATGATTAATTCGTTCTCATGTAAAAAAAATGGCTGGCTTGAAACACCTCGCTTTCCTCGCTAGTTCCTGCTTGATTTTTCATGAGATCAGCATGTATTTTTGTAGCTTTCTCGCAAATAATTGCTTCTGATACGGTGTCTCTAGCACACTGTTTTTCAGTTATCCAAAGCAAAAGCAATTTCTCAACATGATTTAATGTCTTCGATCTCTGTTTAGAAATTGATTTAACCCCTTTCGCAACGTTAGCAGATTTAATAATGTCTTTATTTTTCACGATTGTCAATATCGTTGTTCTCGGAATACGGTATGCAACAGTTAAATCTCGAACACACGTGCCACCTTCATATTTCTCAACAATCTCTTTTTTCAGTTGTGAATCCAGTCATTTTTTTAGTTTTCTGTTGCTTTTCATTTGCCTTCTTGCAATTCATGATTAATAATAAAATTTTACTTAGAAATTAAAATCAGAAGAAATCTAACAAAGTTATAAACTGTGGCACCATGAACGTCTAGTCTGGTCTAGTACACCGACAGTTGTTCATAGATGGCGCGTATAATTAAGTCGTACACCGAACAAAAGTCGTATACCGAGCAAAATTTGTTTTGTCCAAACAGGACATATTCCGAATTTGACGTATTCTAAAGCAGACGTATACCGAGGTTCCACTGTATTTGCTATTATTATGTTCTTATATTACATTAATTCATATGTGTTCATTACTTTATACTTTATTATCTTATCTATAGAATGTTCATATGTGTTTATCATTGATATAATATTTTGTATTATATTATCCTATGTTCATTTGTTAATAATACCTGATGTATGTTACTATGTATTTATGTAATCAGCTCCTATGCAAGTTATTTTATGTAAGTATTTGACTACTCTGGTGTGATCAATAATTTGCCAAGTACATTAACTGAATTCTAAAACTTATATAGCTGTAATCTAACATATTCTTGTTATGTAACCTGTTTTGCATGTATTATGCTTGTAAACATTCTGCTCTCAACCTCAGTGGTGCTCTGTGGAGCCAAGGCCGTCTTAGGAAATAAAGATTTATACAAAGTGAAGTATTTGTAATTTAACAAAATATATTTAATTAACAGATTCTAGTTATATATATGAATTATTGATTATCTGATCATCCAGACTTCTATATTATTAATTTAATCATTAAATTCATTGAGAAATGATCATCTGCATGTATATACTTAAGAATAGTAAATTAATAGGGTCATTACAATTTATACTAGTTTAATTTTTCAAATTATGTAATAGTAATCCAGATACTTTGAGTTCACAAACTTTATTTTTAAAATAAAATAGCAAATGAATAAAGTATATAATGACATATTTCCAGCTGCACTGAACTGATGAAAGGATATGTGTGGCATCAACAACATGAAGCCATGGTGGTTATTCTGCCAGGGTGGTTAAATTCAAGGCAGTGGCAGATCTGTGATGATGTAGAAAATTTTCTCATGGAACTCAGTACATTCCTTAGTTGCTTGGATAGATTCTTAAATTGTAAACTACCATAATGTGCTTGCTGATCACTTACATCCTCTACAACTTTCATGCATCCTCAAAGAAATGGTGCATTTCAGTAGAACAATGCTTCACCTCACCAGACCATTACCACCCAGGATTGGATCAAAGAACACCCACTGGAGTTCCAGACCATCCAGTGATCTCCAAGGTTCTCAGATTTAAGTCCAATTGAATATCCTTATTGTTACATGGAATGCTGCGAGACCATGAAGCCAGTACCAATGTCTACAGCAGAGTTGTAGACAGCAGTGCAACGAATATGGCTTGCAATATATCTAGCAACCCTCCTGTATTTGGTGGAATCAATGGGTACATTCTAGTATGCATAAAACAACATGCTAATGAATTGCATTGTACTAAAATGTGTTCCAATAGAGTTCATTGGTGCAGTGACTGATGTAGAGTACATTGCACTCATCAGGCTGTAGATACCACAATCTCCGATAAGTTAATAACATAACCATGAAGATGGCCTATTAACACCTTTTTACTACTAATCTATATTAACACAAAGTTATTTTCACAAAATAAGTCTGCAAACATAGCACTGTTTACTTCTTCCATCTTGTTAGACTGCCAGACATTCCAGTACAAGCTTATTAACAAACACAATTTTCACTTCATGGCAAGAATGTTACATGGGAGAGTAATCACACCTAACTGATATTAAAAACATGTGTTTATTAAAAATTCAAAGGCACAGCCTCGTCATTAGGCAAAAATCAAACACAAATTTTAAACATAAGAATAGAACATAAATGCAACATTTCTTTTTTAAATTCAGTAAAAGCACAAGATTGAAATATCAAATATTCAAAAAAAATGAGAACAGTCTAATGAAAATGAGATGCATGCAAAATTATCAACAAAAATATAAATCCCAAGCATAACATCTTTAGAGCATCGACAATGTGAATTGTTTAAATAATTCCATCCATAAATGCAAAATATCAATGGTGGGGGTATTGCAGGATGAAAACAATGCAATATAAAAATTTTCCCATAAGAATAACATTCTCGTCATAGCACCATCTCAGTAATCTAGTATTAGCCCAAAGGGGCATACTCTTTTTGAAAGCTCAGTTGTGAGTTTATTACTGGCAATATCCTGTTGATGTTCTGCTACCTGAACTTGCAAAATTCTGGAGTGGCTCCAATGTACATTAATGTTGTTCCCAATAATAGCTGACACAACAAAATTATATATGAAAACACTGTCCCTATCTTTACATAACTACCTAAGTAAGGCAGGCTGGAGAACAAATCGTAAAAGAAGACCACAACTTCTGAAGAGATAGGCTATGCATAAAGATAAAGTGCTCACAAAAGGAACTGGAGAATAAACAATGCGGCAATCTTGTTTATTAGAAAGGAATGTCTGAGAATATATCGATTTCCTGATGCATTAGGAAATCGATATGTCCTCAAATATGAAGTTGGACTGCACAAACGGCAACTGATAACCAGGATGCCATTAACCTCTTGACATGGCTGCATGCCTGGTGTAGTGTCATCATCATAATTGGACCACTGAATGGCATTGGGTATTGTTTAGAAATGAATCCCGCTTTTCTATGAAGGAATGATAGCCATGGATGGGTGTGGCAGTATCCCAGGGAACGCTATATGCCAGTCCTTTTTGCTGAGCATCATTAGGCATCACAGTTTAGGGAGTTATCATGTTCGATCAGCCTGGTGCACATTTCTGGTAATCTGACAGAGGACCAGTACACAGGTTCAGGATGCTCCTGACATATTATTCCAGCAAGATAATGCGTGACTGCACACCACACAGCAAACTCTCACCAGCCTGAACAAAATTCACATCCTTTCCTGGCTTCGCCTGCTCTCTCTCCCAGATGCACCAGGGACCACCACCACCACATACTGTAGATGAAATGCATGCCACAGTGGATGCAGTTTGGCAAGGGATATCTCTTGCAACCATTAATTGCCTTATTGATAGTATGCTATACAGGTTACTGTATGGTGATACAGTAACCTGTATAGCTGTCCACAAGAGCTATATACAGTAGACCTCCCTATAACGCGAGTTCCTATAATGTAGGTTCCTATAACGCGGCGAAAAAATTGCAACAATATTCGTATAAAGACGCTAAAAGGGATGCGTAAAATGCGATAAAATGTCATCACCAACTCGTCATTGCGGACGAGCAGCCAAACTATTTTCCGCCATCCAGCGCCACACTACGGAAAGTTTAGGTGGGTAAATTGAGTTTACTATCATCTGTACAGTATTATATATAAATTACGTACTGTACATATAATTATATATTAATTACATATAAATTAGGTACTGTATATATAATTATATATTAACTTAATTTATTTTAACTTTATTATAATTATATATATACTCTCCACCGTCTAGCGCCACGCTACAGAGAGTTTAGGCGAGTAAGTTGTTTACTATAGTCTGTACAGTATATAAATTAGGTACCATAAGTTTAATACAGTACTGTAATTTTATACATTTCTTGTGAAAGAAACATTTCTTATTCAACGGCCATTAAAATTATTTATATTAATGATGTCTCCAAAGTTCAACAAAGTTTTCGCAGAAAAATAACATCAGAAATCGCGGGCGCAGTTTGGTGCGTTGGTCTGCGACGAAAACAAGCTTAAGCAATGGCAACGTCGAACAGTGCACACTCAGTAAGTAATCCTACAATTTTTTGTTTATAGCATAGTTTATACGGATTATTCCCAAAAAATTATACGTGTTTTGGAAATGTTAAGTCGAATTAGTCTAGAATCGATTAATTTTATGGAAGAAAACCTTTCAAACAGCCGTAGTCCGTAAACTTCACATGTGTCGGGCTGTGATTGGCTCATGTATTTAAGGATTCCTACAACGTGAAATTCATATAACGAGGAACATATCTCCGCATTATAGAGGGGTCTACTGTACATTACTGAATAAACAGGTGTCGGTTGCATATCTTTGTTTGTTCTTTTAATCATTTGCATATCTCCATCACCTCTACCAATGCTGTAATGTGCATGTGGCTACATGCATTCCTTCATAATGTTGTGATTTCACTTTTGAGGAGTGTATGTACTATGAATAAGCTTTATCACTCATGCTACTTAAGACTTCCATCCAAGCTTCCCTTCTAAATGTATGTTTATAGGGCTTTATCTCACTAATTGGAGACATCTTACACCCATGGCCCTCTATGCCAACTTCATCTTGGCATGGTGCTTGTATTTGTATTTGTGTATGATACAGTTATAGATAACATCTGTATGCTTATTCAGTTTATGTAAATATGTAAAAAAAAAAGTTATAGGTGGTATGAAGAAAAGCTTGCCGGGAAAACAACCATTAACAGAGAATAAAGGCAAATTATTTTTTGCTATGTCATTTGTGCTAAAATAAAGGTGTCTTTTGTGCATATGTGTGATTGATTACTTGAGCCTAAAGGTTATTAAAGTTAATCAACCCCTAGTACCAAATTACTCAGCTTTTAATTATTAATTATAGCATAATAATAGTCCAATTAATTACGGCAATTGTTTGACTTAGTATCAATACATTGGACTTTGGGATGTTAATGTATATATTTAAATATGATTTAAAAGTTTTATTATAAGTCTGAAATTAAAAATTAATGAAAACTGATTAAATTATTAGATATTCTCTTATTTTTACACATTTAAAAAATTTTTTTAAATACATACTTCAAGAAGGAAAACAATATGAGATGGTCCAATAACACATTGCCTTATTGAGACATTTTTTAGCTGTGCAAGAACTGATGGTACACTATATCCACATCTATTAGTTCTGTCAGCAACTTCTTTTAACCTTAAAAATAATAAAAGTAATTAAAGTTTCAATCTTTAATACATAATATTCTAACTCTATATTGGCATTATCAAAATAATAATTAACATTTCTTTAAAACAAAAAAAAATATCAATGTTTTTCTTGGCTTAAATATCTACACATTTAAATTGAACAAAATTACTTAGTTCTCCACTTCCTATTCATCAAATTCAGTAGATGAGATTCCAAAGTAAATCTCAACCTCTAGATATGCAAAATAAAAATTTGAATATATTTTGAATTCATAGAATCATTAACAAATTTAGTAATTTTCAGTCATGTGACCAGTAATACTGTCATGTGATCTATTATCAGAATCTCTTGTGCTGTACAATCATTTTTATCTGAAATTAAACAGCTTAATATGTTATATTTCATAAATATAAATCTCAAATACATTTTAAATGTTTACATTTATGAAACCTTTTACATTCTATAAGTAATAGATATGTATATATCAATGGTGCGGTTTTCTTTATATTCCTTTTAAAACTCAATTTTTCAAAAAAATATTTCCTCAAAAATTGATGAAAACTTCATGGGTTAATTCTACAGAAATAACCACCATTTTTTTTTTTGCCTGGACCGCATTTAATCAGAGACAAAAGCTTATCTTCATATTCTTTATATTTACTATGCATTTCGGATGCAATACTTTTACATTTTGTCACATGCCTGTTTGTGTTAACATGTGCTTCACTTTGATGCTACATGAAAACATAGCTTGTAAATCTAACAGCTATTTTTAGTAACTTAAAAATGCTTTTGATCCTAAATTAATGGGTCTTCCTCAGTTAGCACACAAAACAAGTTAACCCAAATGAATGTATGAGCATTCGAAAACAAATAGAATACATATAAATTTACCAGGTGTATAAGCATAAATCCGCTGTTTGCTAATAGATGGCATAAGCAGACATATTAAGTTACCATGACAAAACCATATTTTTTTTTGATGATTTTGACATCTGTCAACATTAATCAGTGCACATCATCAGCAATTTCATACAACAACATATATATTTTTTTTTTATTAATCATGTCTACTTTTGTGCCAGAAAAAGAGCATATGCGGCAAGCTTTGCTTTTCTGCTTCAATTTGAATAAATCGGCTGCCGAAGCACATCGAATGCTTGTGGAGGCTTATGGCGACAGTGCTTTATCGGAAACCACGTGCAGAGATTGGTTTTATCAGTTCAAAGATGGACATTTTGATCTGAGCGACAAGAAGCGTGAAAATTGGCCCAGGAAGTTTGAGGACCATCAACTGCAGGCTCTTTTGGATGAGGATAATACCCAACTGCAAAAAATTCTTTCCAAGCAATTGGGTGTTACTTAACCCGCCATTTCCATGCGTCTACGTGCCATGGGAAAAATTCAGATCTGAAAATGGGTGCCACATGAATTGAACGATAGGCAGATGGAGTGATGCCAAAACGCATGCGAAATCTTGCTCACCAGACAAAAAAGAACGTCGTTTCTGCATCGAATTGTAACTAGTGATGAGAAATGAATATATTTCAAGAATCCTAAATGCAAGAAATTGTAGGTTGATCCAGGCAAACCATCAACATCTTCCCCAAGACCAAATCACTTTGGACAGAAGACAATGCTCTGCATTTGGTGGGATCAGCAGGGTATTGTCTACTATGAGCTGTTGAAACCTGGTGAAACTGTCAATGCCCACCACTACCACCAACAACTGATCAAATTGCACTGTGTTTTGTGTGAAAAAAGGCCAGATTATCAGCAAAGACACGACAAGCAGATTTTCCTCCACGACAATGCACCATCGCACGTGTCAACATTGGTCCAAAACTACTTGGAGACACTCAACTGGGAGGTGCTATCCCATCCTGCTTATTCACCAGACCTGGCCCCTTCCAACTATCACCTGTTTTCATTGATGGGCCAAGTGCTCGCTGAGCGGCACTTCAATTCTTACGAAGACGTCCGAAAATGGCTTGATTAGTGGTTTGCCTCGAAAGAGAAGGAATTTTTTTGGCATGGTATCCACACATTGCCCGAGAGATGGAAAAAAATGTGTCGCTAGTGAGGGAAAGTACTTTGAATAAATTCGTTTTTGCTTTCTAAGAAAAAAACATGTGTTTTTCTGACTAAAAAACAGCAAATTTAAGCTTATACACCTGGTAAATACAATGTTAACCAATAAAAAAATAAAGATAACAGCAAAAAGAATGCAAAAATAAAGTAAAAACAAAACATAGTATAATAAATAATATAATTCAGGTTGTGCATTAGAGTAACTTAAAATATAGACTGGTAAGTTGATGACAATGTCTATATCCCTGTAATTGACTCAATGCTGTTTATTATGGGCTTCAGTGCTTTTACTGGTAAATTTCCAGTCTCTAAATATCTGATGATATAAGGTTTCCTGGTTGGTCTAATTTTCTTTGGCCTCCTCCCATTTAACTTCTACCTGCTGCAGGTTTGCATATAATGCTAGTATCATACTGCCCAAATCACTGACTGTGCATTGATACTCCTGAATTCTGTGTAAGATTACATGTGATGGCTCCTACATATATAAATCTTTAACCAAACCACTGGTCTTCTAATGGGATAGCATAAATTCCTGAGGTGCCAAAACAAACATCCTTGGTCTTATCGTCTTATTGGGGTCAATAAGAAGGCAAATATTCTATAAAGGGGTCAATGGGATAAAAAGTTTGGGGACCCCTGATCTAGACCATGGTTCAGAAAAATTTCATTGGAAACATTTCTTGCTTGCCACAGTTTAGACAGCATTTATAGCCAATGTTTTGTTTAGGTTCATTTTGATGGCATTCAGAAATAGATCATCATCTTTGCAATGCATTTTAAGTCATGGTTCAGTCAGCCAACATCTAGATGCTGTTTGACTGTTAACTGTCGTTTAACATAAACTCTGTCTTTGCAATCGGCTGATATTGTTTGAGTGTTCATAAATAATTGGTTAAATTGACATAATCAATTAGTAATATTATATGTTAATCTTTATTTTAATTTTCAACTATGCCTATATTTATTTTAACATTAATATCATTTGATTAAAATTGATCTTTGTATTTTGTCCAATTATCTATAGACAAAACATTTTGAGCAACTTTTTAAAACCATTTTACTATTCTATTATATTATATTTTAATTTTTGTCTCTAAATCTACTGCAACAAGAACTCCATGGAAATCTTTTAGCAGCAAGAAAATGAACATTCACATTAATTAAATGAACAATATTTGGTCATTTTAACTGACCTTCCTTGGGAAGCCAAACATTCAAACACACAGAATAGAACATTAAAACGATAAAATGAAGAATAACTTTCAAAATTAAAAAATCAAATAACCGTCAACATAAAATTAAAATTGGATACATATAAATTAAACTTTAAATTCAAAACCCATTTCCAAACATCAAAAATAGAAAAAAGAAATGTCCTTTGAGTTTTAATACAAGGGTCTTTTAAGATGTGCTGTAAATTATACTTGTAGTATATGGATTCTGTCAATTTGGCAAACTGTGTCTGTAATATGTTTGAAAGCTTGGTCTTATCCCAAAAAAACCTATGTATCATTTGCACTAGAATATCTAGATAGAGTGATACACTAATCTGTGAGCATATGTTGTATATAGTGTTACCACCCATCTGGTTTTCACCCAGACAGTCTGGGAATTGACTCACTGTCCAGGTGAACTATTAATTTTGTCCAGGAATTTCGTAGAAATTGTGAAATTACGGTAAAACAAAGTTCTCACAAATATTTTTACAAATTTACACTATTTTAACAGCGAAAGAACTCACACTCACTGAAACTCATCTGCAATTCTGCCATGTTAGTTAGTCTGTTTATGTGTGGTGCGCAACCTGTTGACCTTTTTTTTTTTATTTTTGTCCTTTCCATGTATGATCGTACATGTCTCTCCAATATCCAATAGAGCTAAGTTATCTGTACCTGTTCTTTCTTAATTTAGGTTACTCCTACACAAGTCCCTAGTCCCTAACTGTAACTGATTTAGAAATGCTATGCACATTATTCTTTGCATTGTAAAATAACATTGTGCATGCGTCAAAAACTTCTGTTCAAGCAAACCTGATCTGCCGTCCAGATCAGTGATTTTGAAAAGGTGGAAACACTAGTTGTATATGTATTCTTGTATACTTTTTCAAAGGGACTGGAGAGTGCAACCTATGTATGACAAGTCCTTAAAGAAGAGGCTATGTTATACTGAAATCTTTTAAATTACAGATCCAGGACATAGGTCTTGGCAGTCCTTGGCATTCTTCAGAGTGAATCCGTGCTATAAAAGTACCGTGTTATACGGGGGATGGTACCAATTCAACTTAGACAAATAATGTGAGTTCTAATTATTTAAAATTTATTTTATATATAATAGAATTGCCCGTTTGTCTGTCCTATATACACTTCTAAACCCTTCGATTGATATGCGCCCGTATTTGACCTTCATCGGTACAAATCAAATGTCGGTTTTATTCTAGTAGTCTAGAACAAAAATTTTTAAAACNACTTCTAAATTATTGTTTTCTTTAGTCTCCGGCCCCAATTAAAAATTATTTGTATGTATTTATATGGGAAATTATACCCCGATTTACGCGAATTCGACTTACGTGGTTACCGCGTGATCCCACCTATCGTGTAAGTTCGGGGTATTACTGTATTTATAACTTCATTTATGATCTGAGCGACCAATAAAAATCAATACAGGGATTTGTCTGCTTTGTAGTTGCTGAGTAGATGTAACTTTTTGAACATTGCTTTTTTCAGTAACTGATTTATTAAAAATTACACTTTAGCCACCACAAAGCTGTTAAAATGGTTACGACAACAGCATTTATTTGGTGAAAGTTCAAAGGTCGTGTTACAAAGACAATTTGCCAACCACTTTAAAGTGTGGGAAGATATTTGATTTTCTTGCATTTTTGATCTTAAGTTTCTTTTTCATTACTACTTCTT